CAATCTGACTTTTCTATTTTCTAAACTTGCAATTAGACATTAAAGGTGGGTAAGTTTGAGAAACCGGCTCGAGATACACTTTTTGTTATATTCCATGGAATGCTCTTAACATCCCGATAGCAATGAATATCTGAAGTGCTTTGACAAAAAATCCATTAAAAAATGTCATCTGTGGAAGCCGTACTGTAAAAAGCACGACCAATCATCTGAGCCGGCCCGGCTAAAATAACTGGATGGCCTACCTGCCTGTCAGCCTTCCATCTGTGCACAAACTTATCTCGTGCCCTCATTGGTCATGTGCGCGTTCGTGTGTGTTGGAGGAGGGGCTCTGTAAGGAAGTGGCAGATTTTTTCCGGTTGTGTATTTTCAAATTCTAGCGCACTCGAGCTGGTTTCTCCAAAATTACCTACCCCACCTTTAAGTTCCCTATAAAGAGCCAACCTTCAATTTTGAAAATTCCCAGTTTATTCCCATCTTTGAAAATTCCCGGAAATTTGCAACCTTAAAAATCAGTAAAGCATACGCGTCCTCAGTCCTTATCCGTGTCGCAGGCTGCTAACAGAGATGTCAAATAAAGAAAGGAGAGGGATATGCTATGCTTCCATCAAACTGTCAAGGGAATTTTGAGTAAACTCACAAAATGTCTCAACAAATGCATTCTCCCAACAGCTGGGCTTAAGCGAATAAACATGCTTCCTGAAAACAACATCCACAAGGACAATGGGAAGGGACACACTGTTATTGTGTAACTGTCAGCAAATATTGTACATAATTCATCCTCTCCTCCAAAGTTTAGACAAACATACAGTTTTATTTGAATGTGAATCCTCATAACAATATCCACACAAAATGACGCTTATAAGTGCAAGCAGCAGCAGCAGGTGTGAAAACTAGGAGTTTTTTTAAGAATCCGACAACCTTTCAAGACGTTTCTGGGCTTTTGTGCGATGGAGCTGAACCACGCTCAGATCACGGCAAACCCAAATGATCTTTAAATCAAATCCACTTAAAAAAATAAAACTGTTCTGCATGTTTGGTACGATTTGATATAAATTGTAGCGTTGCTGTCACACAGTAGAGACGGAAATGTCTCTGATGTTATTCCAACACACGAGAAGAAGACAGACGACAAAAAAAGACATTTGTTAGATGATTTTTTGGGTCTCAGCTCTCAGCACGACTCTGCACTAACTACCGGTTGAAGTTACATTCATCCGTCTGGTGTCGGTGAACGTATGTCTCACAGCGGCGATCCAGCAGTGTCTGTAGCCATGGAAACTACAAGGATGTAGCGCTTAAATTTAGGGGAAGTGAGGGATTATTACACCAATGCCACACACACATCCCAAACCATCTTCCCATGATCAAAGTAAGAAGAAAAGTCACACATTCAGCGTCCTCAAGAGTCCACTGTAACTCGTGTTGTTAAATAAACTCTGTTGGAAAGACAGCGAAAGACATTCACTTCCGATGGAGGCCTGCTAATCTCCTGGCAAAAGAGAAACTCGACGTGTGGCTCAAGGGCAACTTGACCTGTTTACTTTACGCCCGTTCACTTCCATCGTCTAAGCTTGCCCTGCCTTTCTCAAGCTAGCATTCTCCTGGTCATGATGAAGACTGCTTCATCAGCTAAAGCCATCAACATCAAACCACTAAGCCCTCCTTTATACATAAACATTCAAACTATGTTCATGTGATACGTGAGGTTGAATGTTATAGCCCTTTCATTTCCTTTCTGCTTGTGCCGCTGTATGCTGCCTCATATTGCAGTAATGCTGTGAAAGTGGGGGGAAAAGACAAAGGTCATTTGCTTTATAACAGACATGATCAGTCAAGCCCAAATCGGTGCAAGTTGTGAGAAGAAAGATGGATCATTTGGATTAGGTACGCTTGGTTGAGCAGAGGACAGATAACGGGCGATGAGGCGGAGAAGACAGCAAAGATGGGGGGGAAGACAGAAAGAAAGACGCCATTAAAATATCTAATATCTATAAACTGCACTGTAATGCTCTTTTGTGTTGTATTTATGCTCGACACAGTGCCATTAAACAGCAGCAGCTCTGGGATTTCAATATTAAGCCTTGCTTTACTTTGAAGGAGCTGCAAACACAAACTTATGCAAACAAACACAAGCATGAAAGGCATGTGAAATATTTCCTAAGTATCATGAAATATGCCAAATGTGCAGCTATGAGAGAAAAATACAGAGCACATCCACACAAGGTTTCTCACACACACACACACACACACACACACACACACACACACACACACACACACACGTGGTCAGACTGGCCGGCAGGAGGGAAGCTTCAGTGCTGGGATCTGACCAGTGCACCGTATACTGGCTGCCAACAGTCCACCACACACCGCTGCTGTGTCCAACCATACATGTGTGTGCCTACATGCGAGTGTGACCTTGACTTTGTGAGCAGGCCTTCGTATCCACAAACACAAGTGTGTGTCTTTGTGTGAGCGACTGTGTGTCCTCCAAGTGTGTATGCATGGGAGTGGGTGAGTTAAATACACAGTATAAACATTGTAGGGACTCCCTTGACTTGTGTTTACCGATCGAGATAAAGACCGTCATTCCTCTCTCACCACCAACCTACTGTACTTCCTGCTCGTCCAACCAGAGAGAGGCACTTAAGCCTGGGCAATGTCACAGATATCTTATCTTGCCAATAAAGCCGCTTGAATGGGTTTAGATTGAACTGAGAGAGGGAGGAAAACAAGAGGGCACACACTGGTCTAATGGGGTCACTTCACCCCCCCATTGAGAGAAACTCCTGCACCCCCCGCCCCTCCTCCTCCTTCTTCTCCTCCTCCTCCTCCCATCTCACATGTTAATGTACTTACCGCTCTGCAAAACCTTCAATCTGCCCGAGATGCTGGCTGGCATAACAAACAGGGCCCTGAAAATAGTCTCCCCCCCTGTTTCCCATGCTGCACTGGAGGTATTTCGGTGGTGAAGCGAATTCCTAATGTTGGATCAAATAATCTACCCACTACTTCTCTGCCTTTCTACTTCCCTCTCTCTGTGAGTTCTGTGTCTGCCGCTTCACCTTCATGTCTCCTCGCTGCAA